CTACAATGATTCAAATAAAATAAACAAATCACAAATGTAAACTGGAGAGTAATCATGTTAATAATAAGAAGAATATGAATATTTTTTTTCCTGGCAGGTCACGTCTGAAGAATGAATTCCTCAACTTGGACCAGCAGGGCGGAGGCGCCCGATACATCGGCGGCTCGGGTAACAAACATGACAAACTGAGAGTACCACCATGCTCAAGTCGGAAGGCGGTTGGGGGCGGGGCCCCAGTCACATGACTTGACACCTGTCAGAGTCGAGGTGCTGATTTTAGGACAGAAAGACTCTGCTTGACTTGGACTTCATTTTCCTGGGACCGGTCTTGACAGGCGCAACATGTGAACCGTAACTGACACGTTGCGACAACATGAAGTAGTCAAATGTGTCAATTTTACCGTCCCCTCAAAATAACTCAAACCGACCATTTCGTGTCTGAACTGCTGGCAACAAAAGTGAGCACACCCCAAGTGAAAAATCTCCAAATTGGACCCAACGAACCACGATCTTTACCCAGCGAGCCCCTTTGTTAATCTTGGCGGTCCATGCAGGCGAGACGCAGCAGGAGGTCCAGCAGAGACTGCTGAGGGAGCGTGAGATGAAGATCCGCGCGGCGCTCGAAAAGCTGAGCAGGAAGCGGCGACTGCTTCGAACCCGCCGGAAGCACAAAGAGTTCCCGATCGTCTCGGTGCTGGGCTACACAAACTGTGGTAAGACAAGTCACTTCGGAACCACTTGGGCCCTTTAAAAAAAAAAAATGTTGGAGAAAATATATTGAAAAAAATTTATGTGGGATTTTAAATCTAATAGAATACACAAAATAGAATAAAATAATAAAGTGAAAATAAAATGGAACAAAATTGTGAAATAGTGGGAACAAACCAAAAAAAAAAAAGAAAATCAAATCAAATAAACCAAAAATAACAATTTAAAATACAACGAAACAAAAATAACTAAAATAAAAATGAAAGTGGACTAAAACTAAAGCATTAGAAAGCATTTTGTTTGGTGATTTTGTCGCACCGGGACTCTTGTCACCAAACAAATTCACCATTTTATCTTTGTCGACACATCTGCAGGCAAAACCACGCTGATCAAAGCGCTGACGGGCGACGCGGGGTTGCATCCCCAGGATCGGCTTTTCGCCACGCTGGACGTGACGGTGCATGCGGGCCAGCTGCCCGGCCGCGTCACCGTCCTCTACGTGGACACCATCGGTTTCCTGTCGCATCTGCCGCACCAGCTCATCGACTCGTTCGCCGCCACGCTAGAGGACATCAAGCACTCGGTACGTACGCCCCGTCGCCACCGCACACAGGAAACATCGGGGGCGACATCCAGTCGGCCCCCACCAGAGGAATACCATATATGGTTATAGAGAATTTTGTACACGACCCTTTTTGTTGAACATGTTAAAAATATGGAGATGATAAGAAGTATCCATCTAGTTTTCGTGATTGAGTAAGTCCAAATTTGACTTGTGAAATTGTGCGTGTGCGTCAGGACGTGTTGATCCATGTGCGGGATGTGAGCCATCCAGAGAACGTCAACCAGAAGGCCAACGTGTTGAATGTCTTGAGGAACCTGCGAGTGCCCGACGCACTCTTGAGCTCCATGATTGAAGTCCACAACAAGATTGATCTCATTGACAAGTAAGGAACTTGTTCTTTGGCTTTTTTTTTTTTTTTTAATGCTCAGGCAAAAATCGACAGTTGTAACTTGAGATGTGTTTTTTTTTTCTTCAGCCCGATACCAGTAAAAGTACTCAACAGGCGAGTAGGGGCCAACTGATTTTGAGGCCGATTCCATCATTCCGATCACTAATAAATTGGTTGATTTAGTAAAAAAAAAAAGTAAAATAATCTATTTATTTGGTCCCTAAACAAACAGCAATGGATTACAAGCATAACATTGAACTGTTTTACAAAACTTTGTCCTTTAGAATTGAACTTTAAAACAGATAGAAAAATCAGATTTTTGTTTTTCCTAATTAAAAAAAATGTTGAAGCGAATGCCAACTTTTCTCTATACATTTGTATGACCTGTACAATTAAGAGTAGCATTACCATGGCGACAGTTACCACGACGTCCAATGGGACACATCAATAAAACGTTCACGTTCCGTCACGTCTTTCAGCTACGAATCGACGGAAGACGACTCCCTGGCCATCTCGGCCCTGAACGGGCGCGGCCTGGAGGCACTGAAGACGGCGGTGGAGCGGCGCGTGCTGGCCGCCACGGGCAAACGCCTGGTCAGCCTGAAGGTGGACCTCAGCACGCCGCAGCTCAGGTGAGGGAGGCCGCGGCGTTCGGTCCAGCACGCGGCTGGCACGCCATTAACTGTCGTGGTCCTCAGCTGGCTGTACAAGGAGGCGGCCGTGCAGGACGTCAGCGTGGACGCCGACGAGGGCTCGGCCGTCGTCAAGGTGGTTATCGGCAACGCCGCCTATGGACGCTACAGGAAGATGTTTGGCTAGCGGCTCGCTACCGCTTACATGAATATGACATTTCACGCACACACGCGCCGCACATGCATGGCTGATTGACTGTAAAATAAATAAATAAAACCACGGGGTTGCGTTTCATTTATTTCAGTGTTAAAATGTTCTCACATTTTTTTTTTTTAGTCACATAAAACATGCAATTAAAAGGAGGACGCATCAAAGGAATTTGTTCATTCTAAGGCACTATTATTGAGTCAAGTGAAAATGTCCTTCGTTTCTGTCAGTTCATATAGATATTTTAAATGTATTTATTTTGGTATTGATACATCATTCCAGTTTTACATTATTTTCTTTTAAGACCACAATTACATTTGACATTTAACAACTAAAACGTGTCATTAAATCATGCTGCGGCGTGACACAATCGATGGACGGCCGGACGGATCAAATCATGCTGAGAGTTGTTCCTAATATTGTGGCCACCACGGAGAGCTAACTATGACATCAGCAGTATGTTTTGGTGCACGATGATAAAAAATATATTGATATTGTTCATCGAACAGACGTGGTTGGCCAGGGCAAGAGTCCACGAGCACGGTGCTATCATCCGTTTTCCGCGTGCCACTTTTTGTCCATCAGCAGTTTCCTGTTGAGTCCCACGACGAGGGGGCAGAGGGGCAGCGGGCCCACGAAGTCCCCGGCGATGATGTTGAGGCTGTGGGGTTCCGAGCCGGGTGCCTGCTGCTTCACCCACTCGCTCAGGCTCTGCCACTGGGCCCAAGTCAGCGTCCGCAGAGACTGCTTGGGGTTGGTGATGATGTACTTCCTGTACGCCGTCAGGTTTAAGCCCGCCACGAAGAAACCCTCTGCAGGGACAAACGATGTGATACTACATGAAGTCTTAGAAACTGCAGTACGCAAATTCGGAACCAACCAAGTGCCAGTCAATTTAGAGCATTCTGATCTTTCAAGGCTCACAGAATGTTGTGTTTTGTGACTCCATAAACAAGAAACCACATTTTCATCACAATTTTTTTTTTGTTTCTACCTAATTCAATTTTTTAGTAATCAGAAGAATACGGGTTGGTTTTACCCAAATCACCTGTTTTGGACCCCCCCACGCTCCAAAAAACCCGCACAAAAAAAGCTTTTATGTGTGAAAAAAATATGATGCGAATAATTTTTGCTTTCGTGACACCTCAAACATCTGAATAATCCTTCGACAAAATACCAACAGCAACAATGAAAATGTACATTTGATTGCAAAATAATTTACAAATATCACTAGTGCAACAATTCAGCATTTGACAAAGTTTACCAACTATTTGCATGCTATTTAGTAGTAGTAGTAGTATTTTGTAGTGTGTGCGCGTGCAACGTGCCATGCATGTGTGCATGTATGTACATGACATCATCGCTTCTGGTTCCAAATTTAAATAATCTCATGTCATCCTTTTTCTCATTTGAGACATCCTTGATGTGACATTTAGATTTAAAGTCACAAATCAGTATATAAAGTCAATCAGTATAAATCCGTATATAATCAGTATAAGACTTGATTATAGAAATATTTGAGGAGTCCTGTGCAGCTATTTCTACCCAAAAGTACGTGCGGCACCATGGTGAGGAAGTCGATAGTTAGTGTGTTCTTGTGTGTCAGTAGCGCAGCTGTGACATGGACTCACGTGGCCTTCCAAGCTGCTTGTTCCACTCCAGGAAGTTGATGGCGGCGCAGGCCGTGCGTTGGTTGGCCCACCAGTAGGGGATGCTGGGGAGCAGCTCGGCATGTCGGGAAGCGACATCGGCGTCGTAGGAGAGCAGAACCTGACGACCCGACGCCCACAGACGCCGCAGGGACCAGTCCGCTTCCTGTCCGGGAAAAAGAGACACGCGTGACCATCAAGTTAGAGCAATGGACATCTCATCATCCAAAGTAAACCACATCACACATCCAAAAACCTCAACGGAAAGGAGCATCTTATGGTCCAAAGCATACCACATCATATGTGCCACATCTAGCCACGGAAGGGAACATCTTACAAAGCATAGAACATCATCATCATCATGTACGGGAAAAGGCTGACCTGGCGAAGACAGAGTTTGGCGCCAAAGAGCTTCTTGAGGTTGCATATGAAGAAGTGATGTAGCGCGTCACTGAGTCCCTCAAAGTGCCTGCAGGCCAAGATGACCACCTCCTTGGGGTGACTCTCCAACCAGGCGGCCACGGACCGCAGTGTGTCCTGATTGGTCGATCAGCAAGAGTGCAATCGAGCCCATTGGTCAATGCGGACCTCAAGTTTGTGCCGGCGAGCGTTGAGGGTCACTCACCAAGACGGTGACGTGTGTGTACAAGATGTGGGTAAAGTACAACTCTGAGGACGGGTCGTCGGGCTTATGCGCCACGCGCAGGTCGAAATACCGGATGCCCATCGACAGCTGGTCTTCAATGCAGCAGTCCTGATTGCATAGACAAGTCGGGCATTTAAAAACGAGCAGGAAGGGATTAGATAGATGGATAGAGATAGATAGATAAAATACATATACTTATTATTGTTATTTTTTTTTTTTTTACATTTTTCATAGTTTCTTTCGTTTACTTAGCATATCACGCAACATCTTTTCAATGTCCTTGTGCTAATTCCTGCTGCCATCACCTTGGTGGACATAACAATAAATCTAGATTTTTTTTTCCAAGGCTTGTGTTTCCTATCTATATTCCTATTTATGATCTCCAAAGGTTCTACCTGCGTGGTGGCCCATTTAAAGACAGTGGGCCTGGTGAGGCAACAGCAAAGTCCATCAAGCACCCTGAACAGGTCCGACTCAGACCTCACCAAGGGGGAGGAGATATCAAGGCAGTAGCTCATTGTGTCGTGACTTCCTGAAAATACACAAACTGCATACTGAACAGCTAGAACTGGTTTAACTGTTCATACAATGATTAATGCAAAAGGCATTCTTACTAATCGCTTCCAGCATATTTATATCTACCTTATGTCTAATTATAAATGTAATTTATACAGTATGACAGTTGTTCCTAATATTCTGCGTGACCGTAATTAATTGCGTGAGTCAAAATATAAGAAATATGACCTGCTGTCCTATTTGTTGTCATTGACCAAACAGGGAGATTTGGAATTAAAGCGACAGTACCGGGTATGGCCAGGTGGGTCAGCGGGATGTCCAGCAGCTCCTTCGGCAAATTCGACATCCAGTCCTCGCACCACTGATCCATGTCGGGGATCTCCTCGGAGTCGCTCGACAAGGAACGTCTCGGCGTGGACAGCTTCTCCCACATTTCACGCTCGATGAATCGATCGCCTTCGATTATTTCATTATGTGCCTTTAAGAGATCGGGGGTCAAAGGGTAAACAGGAAGTAGAAGTGAAAGTTAGCGAGGTCCTGGGAGAAATAAAGCGAAATAATTAAGTCAGCCAGTTTGTTTGCTGGTGGTAGAAAACCGGTCCCGCGACATCGTTCTCCTCACTCAACATTAACTCTCGCGTTCCGGGTTCGTCTTTGACAAACAGTATCACGTTTGATGCGGCTCTCAACTTTACTTCCTGTTCGGGATACGCATGCGCAATGGCCACAACGATGAACAAGAAGCGACATTATATCATTCACGTCGCACTTGCTAACTAGTTACCGGTACATTTTTCATAGTTTCTTTCGTTTACTTAGCATATCACGCAACATCTTTTCAATGTCCTTGTGCTAATTCCTGCTGCCATCACCTTGGTGGACATAACAATAAATCTAGATTTTTTTTTCCAAGGCTTGTGTTTCCTATCTATATTCCTATTTATGATCTCCAAAGGTTCTACCTGCGTGGTGGCCCATTTAAAGACAGTGGGCCTGGTGAGGCAACAGCAAAGTCCATCAAGCACCCTGAACAGGTCCGACTCAGACCTCACCAAGGGGGAGGAGATATCAAGGCAGTAGCTCATTGTGTCGTGACTTCCTGAAAATACACAAACTGCATACTGAACAGCTAGAACTGGTTTAACTGTTCATACAATGATTAATGCAAAAGGCATTCTTACTAATCGCTTCCAGCATATTTATATCTACCTTATGTCTAATTATAAATGTAATTTATACAGTATGACAGTTGTTCCTAATATTCTGCGTGACCGTAATTAATTGCGTGAGTCAAAATATAAGAAATATGACCTGCTGTCCTATTTGTTGTCATTGACCAAACAGGGAGATTTGGAATTAAAGCGACAGTACCGGGTATGGCCAGGTGGGTCAGCGGGATGTCCAGCAGCTCCTTCGGCAAATTCGACATCCAGTCCTCGCACCACTGATCCATGTCGGGGATCTCCTCGGAGTCGCTCGACAAGGAACGTCTCGGCGTGGACAGCTTCTCCCACATTTCACGCTCGATGAATCGATCGCCTTCGATTATTTCATTATGTGCCTTTAAGAGATCGGGGGTCAAAGGGTAAACAGGAAGTAGAAGTGAAAGTTAGCGAGGTCCTGGGAGAAATAAAGCGAAATAATTAAGTCAGCCAGTTTGTTTGCTGGTGGTAGAAAACCGGTCCCGCGACATCGTTCTCCTCACTCAACATTAACTCTCGCGTTCCGGGTTCGTCTTTGACAAACAGTATCACGTTTGATGCGGCTCTCAACTTTACTTCCTGTTCGGGATACGCATGCGCAATGGCCACAACGATGAACAAGAAGCGACATTATATCATTCACGTCGCACTTGCTAACTAGTTACCGGGAAATAAACGACTTGACTTCAAATTTATAAATAAAAGGAAAAAAATGTGGCAAAAACAATAGTACTCACTCTCTGTAAGTTAAAAAAAACTACTTTAGTCAAATCAACAAACTGAAATTGTGAAGTCTGTGGTAAAAAATTGTCTACTTTAAACAAAAATCCGATCCAACAAAAACAAGAAATTATGAGCCTATTTGTTCAATTCAAGAAACAAATACAGCTTCACGGACACTAATATAATCTTCTTTGCCATTATGTGCCATATTGAGCTTCCAGTGAGAGCTGTCACACCAAATTTAACACACTTGCTCCCCATTCAAACCACAGATTTTATAAAGTATAAAGACACTAGCGAGGGGAAATGACCATCCATCCATTTTCTGACACTCACACCTAGGGACAATTTAGAGTGTTCCATTGACCTACCACATGTTTTTGGGAATGTGGGAAGAAACTGGAGTACCCGGAGAAAATCCACGCAGGCATGGGGAGAACATGCAGATTCCACACAGGGACGCCAGAGCCGGAATCAAACCCTGTACCTGCACTGTGAGGCCAACAAGCTAACCAGTTGCCCACTGGGCCGCCCGGGAAATGTCTAATAGGACCGAATTTGGACATTTTCACGTCGGGGTGCACTCTTGTTCCCAGTGACTTGAGATATTAAAGGCTGTTGAGTTACTTTCAGGGGACATTGAATGTGTTAAATTTTAGCAATACAGACCATACACTGACTACTTTGTTATGGAAAAGTGTCTTTTTTTTGTTCGTGTTGTCCCATGAGGATATACAACCAAATATTTCCATAAATGTGATGGTTGTACTCACTTTTGTGAGATACTGTAGTTGAGGAAACATATGGCATGTCAATTAACTACAAGAAATTATTCTTCTGTGACATTGAAACCTTTCGAAAATTGAATTATAATATGAATACAGGGAACCCCATGAATTCACATTTCGCGTGCAAAAACTTTGGGTCACGTTGAGGGGCGGGTGGGGGGGGGTCTGTTGTAAATGACATGTATTCTATGTCATACAGCTTTTAAATGACGGCTATTCTCTCATGATGATGTCACACAGAATTGGGACCGCGATCCTAGCAAGAAAGTCATTCTGGACAGTTACATATTCTCAAGTACTGAACCTCAAGATGGACCACTTGAAAAAAATCATTTAAAAATAATTTTTCAAAATTCTTCAGCCCTACAAGACAGGAAGATTCATGACACAACAGGAAACCAAGACAAGCAAAGGACAGGGGAAAACAGTTGAAGACAATCACCATAACCAAGAGACACAAGGACAGGAAATACAGCTTCTGAAATGAGAGCCAAAAATGTCCTCCAAAATAAAATGCAAATACCAAGCCATAACACAAAACGTGTGATTCCTGCTTTTCTGAGGATGGGGTGCAGCGGTAAGAAGCACAAATGTGTGCTCTTAACCCAGTAGTTTGCTGTTAAGCGACACGACGATTTGCGCAAAGCGGCCCTCGCTGACAAAGTCGCCCGCCACGATGTTGAGCGAGTGCGGGTGGCTGCTGGGCGTCTGCTCGTGGACCCACGAAAGCAGCGTGGGGTTGGTGGACTTCACCAGGCCCTTCAGAGACTCGGTCAGATTCTTGGTGATATACGGCAAGTCCACCGTCAAGTTGATCCCGGTGACAAAAAAGCCTCCTGAAACAAATGTCAAGAATATTTCAAAACAAATGGTGTCGTTTTGTTGACTGCAAAGTAGATTTTTGGAAAACGATTATTGATGCTATTTTAATCGGTGCTAAGTTTTGCGGCGCTTACGTGGTCTGCCACTTTGCTTTGCGTTCTCCAAGGTATGAATCAGATCCTGTGCCGTGATCTTGTTGGCCCACCGATAAGGAATGTGATCCCAAAGGAAGTGGTGGTGGCGAACCATGGCTTTATTGTCGTAGGACACGATAACCTGGTGGCCCGACTGCCACAGCTTACGAAGAGTTGGTATGTCCTGAAACGCAAACCGTGACATTTGAGTCTGAACACAGCTTTTGACACCAGACCTGAATAAATGGCATTTTTTTCCCCTCAAAATAAAGCACTGCATCTTTCTTGAAAAAAATACTCATCGCATGACAGATTTTTTTTCCCTTGATAATTGAATTCCTCCCAAAATAGGCTTTTTATTGAAACATCAAGGGAGTACCATTTTGGGACAGAGTTTGGATGAGAAGATGTTTTCAATGGTGGTGACGAGCCGCATGTGGCGCTTGTCGTCGAGGTCCAGGAAGTGGCTGAAGGACAGGATGACCACCTCTTTGGGATGAGCATCCAGCCACGTGCGAATCTCGCGCAGAATCATCTGTCGGGAGAACACAAGTACCACCCATATGCTTTCAAATGTTATTGATTAAACAGCCAAATAGCAAATGAAACCACTTGCAAGGAGCATGTGCCGAAAATGAAAATGGTTCGCTGCTGTGGAGTGCGCCCGTCTGATAGTCTTACCTCCACGGTGGCCTTGCTGTAGAAGCCGTGGTAGAAGTAGAGGCTGGTGGAGGTGTCTTTTGGCCTGTGTGCGATTCGCAGGTCGCAATAGCGGATGCCGCTGTTCAGCTGCTCTGTCACCGTGACATCCTACAGCACATACATAAAACCCCATGCCACATACAGTCATACATAAAACCCTATGCCACATACAATCCTTCCTCAAAAGTATTGGAATTTATTTTTTTCTTATACTTTTTTTTCTGAAATGATATAACTTAAAAAAAACTCTTCGCCCGTATAACATTACAATTTTTCTTGAAAAAATATATAGAGGAAGTAAAACCAAAATTTCTTTCAAACATGTTGGAGTTAGCCCACTCGAAATCTCAATAGCCGGTATTTTTTTATTTTTTTTAAAATATTGTCAGTGGTGGTTTCTGACATGCTCAGTATGTGGGGCCGCACAAGACCGCAACGTGCCCGAAACCAAAAATGCTTGGCATTCATGCAAATTGCGCCCCCTTGTGGAGTCATATAAGGCCCACTCCGGTGTTTTCAATAACTCACAATGTATCGTACTCGTTCTTTTCACCTCCTGCGTGAAGATCATACCTGCGTTACGGACCACTTGTGCATTACTGGTCGAATGAGGCCGCTCGCGTATTTGTCCGCCTTCTGCAACATGTCAGGCTGGGTCACGTCGACGGGAGATTTACGGTGTTTATCCAGAGCGTACGTGATCGCGTTGTGGCTGCCTGCATGGACAAGGAACGACACGAAACGGTCGGGTTCCCCACCTGAAGGCTGACAAAAATTAAAAAAAAAGTGTGCGGGCGGCCTACCCGGAATGGCCAGGTGATAAAGTGGGGTGTCGAGCAGGTCCGCCGGGATGCGAGTCATCCACCTGTCCATGGGTATATCAGTCACCCGGTTTGCGTTTCTCGGCTCCACGTGCAAACATCCGCAGGGGGAAAGTCAGAACCATGCGCAAAGCATGTGATAAAGGCAGGTGGACCATTAATTGAATAACACGAATAATTCAAGGGAGTAAGAGAAGGATGAGTACAGTACTGTCATTAAACCTTCAGTCTGGAAAAGAACACAGTCTCATTTCTCGTTCTCTTTCTCATCGTCCATGCATTTAAATGCAGTCGGTCATTTTAAAACTTCGTACGGATATTTTACACACTTTTTGTGCGTACGCACGCTAAATAAATGACACCTTCGTATTAAAGCAAGCGCAAATGAGCATGTAGAAAAATGTCTGGATTCCTGTGTTATTCTACATATTTTTTATATGCCTCAGGCTTTAGAAAGCACGTTTATTGTGCAGGACAGTTCAATCGAGTAAACGACATTTAGCCTTCATAAAAGAATTATTCAGACCACGTTTGTTTAGGTTAAAAGGCTTTTAAACCAACGCAATGGCAAACTTCAAAATAAAAGCAAATAATAAGTACATTGACGCCAATACAATAGCCCCTTAGCTTTTATTTTGAAGTTGACCTGCGTCGTGGTGTGGCGGTTTGCATGCCTTTTACCTTCTTGACATTTTGGCTTATCTGCTCACAGTTTAAATACGGTTGGTACTCACATCAACGCAACGACATCACGAAATCATTTTCAATCGCTGACTTTGGACGCCAGAAACCGCAAGTTAACAACGCCGTCATCTTGCGATAGTCCGCTGTGAACGGGGGTGTAAACATTGTCTCTTGAAGCGCAGGAGACGTGCGATAATTCAAATACAGTCGGACATTTCATATTCGGAAATAAAAAAGGGAGTACGTATTATATATTTTCTGTATGCTGTTTCCCAGGACCTAATTTACATGGCAACAGTCGAAGTACAGTAGCACCGCGCGCAATTTTTTTTCACTTAAAGCACCGATTTAAAGTGTTATGGTGTTTGTGACCTCAAACGTGTTTTTTTAAATTAATGAAAAGTCACTGACAGTCTGGGGATTGTTATTTACGTTACCCGATGCCATAAAATTTGCTTTCGTTCACTATAGTTGTCTGCTTTTGGGACTCTACGCGTGTGACATAAAAAAATCTGCTACATCGTTGAAAATGGAAGCAGTATCTACTTTAAGCACCCAAATCGGTACTATTACCTCCGTGGTTGCGCAGAAAGTTGATCCCATGACTTTTGGTTGCTTGGAGCCGGCGCGACGTCTCCACTCAGTTGGCACTCCACCTGCACTTCTGCGTGTCACAATTCACCTCGCCCACACCGGGATCGCCACTTAATTGTGTGATTTGCAATCGCACAAAAACGTTTGCGATCGCGCTAAAGGTCTTAATGATGAGCTTCCCCACCGAAAAAGCCTTTGTTATGTATCTCAAGCATGCTCCTTTGGAGGTAAAGAATGACTTTCCAAATGTCTCCAGAACGTAAAATTGTTAAATATCCAGCAAAACTATCGGAATGAAAGTCAGCTTGCCGGGTCCATGCGCGAAGTTGCTGCTGGCTAGCTTGCACCTTGCTCAGTAGCTTGCACGCTTCCTTTCTGCTGTCTCTCGCAGAGTATTTTGATGCGAACGTAGCATGTGGCGTGTCAAAGTGCCGCTTTGCATTCTAACCGTTTCGTCGATGGTTATTTTGTCATTGCAAATTAGACACACCGCAGAACCTGTTCTCTCCACAAAGGTGAATCATTCGGTTCATTCGTCCTGAAGTGTACCATACTCGTCATCTTTTTTCCTTTTTGCCATCTTATTTGTCAGAGGATTAACTTTGAGCTAATGACCGAGCGGGCTGATTCAAAAGGGGGCGTTTACCTGTTTCCACAGCAACGGCAACATAGGCCAGTATCATCCAATCAAAATTGCTCCTGGAGCCAACTGCAGCCGGAACAGGACATGAGCAGTGAAAAATCGATGGATGGATGCATTAAACAAGCGAAAATATTTTGTTTTATCTGCGAGCCAGATGCAATCATCAAAAGAGCCATATATGGCTCGCGAGCCATATGTTCCCAACCCCTGTTGTAAAGTATACACACACACGTGGGCATTGACCAACGTGAACTGACCCATATATGGCTATGGCTCTCGAGCCATAGGTTCCCAACCCCTCTTGTAAAGTATACACACACGCGCACACACACACGTGGGCATTGACCAACGTGAACTGACATTGTGAAACTTTTGAGGTAGGATCAGAAACGGCTATCGCACTCCCTGCAAAAGCCCGCGTCACGTTTGTGTTCCAAGCATATTTTGTTTATTAGTCACTTTAGTCTAAGCATTGTTGCTCTCTCCTACAGGCGGGGTACAGCCTGAACCGGTTGCCAGCCAATCGTTGGGCACACACACGAACAACCAATCACTCACAATCACACTAAGGGACATTTTAGAGTGTTCCATTAGCCTGCCACACGTTTTTGGAATGTGGGAGGAAACCGGAGTGCCCAGAGAAACCCCACGAAGGTACGGGGATAACATACAAAGTTCACACAGGAAGGCCGGAGATGGAATCGAACCCTGCACCTCTGCACTGTGAGGCTGACGCGCTAACGTGCAGTTTCTCACCAGGCCAGCCTAAATGTAATTAAACTGAAGAAGTAAATCTGTTTCTAACATCAATTTAAAATCACTTAAATAAAAAATACATTAACATTTAAAATGAAGAATTGATAAAAATGTAACATTTTAATTAATAAAAATTTTTAGAAATTTACAGGACACAATTCATGTGGAAGATTAATTTTGAATAAAACAAAAAACGTCTTGATTTGCTTCTTTATTATCAAATCAAAGGATGAGACAAGAAAAGAGTGAAGGCAGCGAATATGTGACGACAGTGGCGTTGTGAACATCAAGAATTTAGTGTTCTTTATTGAAGTCAACTCCGATTTTTTCTTTGCAATGTTTTATGCATCCATTTGGGTCAAAACACGGAATTGAGATGAATATTGCATTAATGGTCTATGAATTTAGCAGCAAAATCCTCCCGCTTTTATCTATCCGAAAGGGTGGCCATTTTGTCACTTGCTATCACCGTTGCCCAAGGGTCGGTCGGGTAATGACCAATCACGGTTCAGCTTGTGAATGTTACAAGACCAATAAAAGAAAACAGCTGAGCTGTGATTGGTCATTACAAGACCAAACTTGGAAAAAAAAAAAAAAAAAAAAGAGTTGACTTCCCCTTTTAAACTTGGCAACATTTTTACTTCAAAACTTTTTTTTTGTTTGTTCAAGGCAACTTTTTTTTTTTTAAGAAAAAAAAAATTAAATAGGACATTTGTTTTGACTATTGACTGAAAAGTTCACGTACTTGCTGTTTTTGTGTTCTGGCCTTAGTATTAAAATCCCGATTTGCTGCCATCTTTGTGCCAAGAGACAGTATTGAAGTGAAGGAATAAGATGAATTGACTCAGGCTGTCACCCTTGGAGAGAAACACTGTGTTGATGTGTGCTTTTGAGAGGCGTGGCCTAGGGAGTGACATCAGCAGCTCGAGTCCCAGGTGGGTGTTCTCACTTTGTATTGGAATGTTTGGTCCGTTTCTTACAACACTGTACATCCAGCTGTGCGATGAGGAACGGAGTGCCGCGCTGTTCAGTAAAAAGTTGTGCTACGTACAAACGCGCTAACTGCTTAGCACGCTAATTGCGTCTTCTCACGGAGCGGGTCTGTTGTCACCTTCGTACGCAATGCGAGGCGGTTCCCAGTGACTGTCTCCCACGCCCGCCACCGCTGCCTTTCTGGTCGCTACCGGTTGCCCTTCGGGTGGTGTCCGGCGTAGGAGGCCCGCCCTGGCGCCGGTGCCTCCCCTTGGCCTCGGGCTCGGAGTCGCTGAGCTCAAGGTCGGGACAGTAGCCGTCGCTGTCATGGTACAAGCGCGTGTTGTTGGCCGGCACTGGCTTGGGCCAGAGTTTTTCCTTGCGGGCGAGCTTGTCCGAGGCCCGCATGTCCTCAGTGGTCCGTACCAAGTTCATGGTGGCCTCCTTGAAGGACCTGCCGAAGTGTTCCATGGCCGACTTACCGAAAGCGCCTTTGTCCAGCGGTTGCTTCGGCGCGTCGGGCTCACCTGGCGTCTGGCATGAGCTGTCTTTCTGCGCGACCAGTTTCTCCAAGAGGCCATTTTTGGAGGCGCGCTCTTGCTCAGCTTTGCCGTTGGAGGAGTGGCCGTGCAATGGGGGATGCAGAGTCAGAGGCTTCCCCGCCAGCAGCTTCCCAGCCATGGGCTTCCCCGACATGGACTTTCCGGCGAGCGGCTTCCCCGCCACCCGGCCGTTGGCGCGCTCCTCCCGCCGGGCGTGCCCGTGCAGCTGAGGCTTGCCCTGGCCCAGGCCCTCGCTGGCTCGCTCAGACACGTTTCCGCTGTTGTCCGGGCAGAGAGGCCCGTTGGCCGTTTTGGACGCGGTGTGGCAGTTTCCCAGGCTGGAGGCTTTGGGCATTTTCAGCTTCAGTGTGATCCTGGGAGGAGGCCGGAACAGAACACTCTCCACCGGGAAGGATGCAGCAAGGCCTTCGGAAGAGAGAGAAAAAAAAAGAGTCAACATGTTTGTTTAGTTGCTTTCTAAGAGTACCGTAATAGGTGGATGTGAACACTTACAAGGAGGGTCACAAGATTGGGGGCTGTAGTGGTCTTATCAGATTTCTGAGAATCATTTAAGCTTTGCTTTTCCCAGTATGTTCACGAGACTCAGCTGGTTTGTGATGTGTGGCAGAGATGCAGATTTTTTTTCCCGCCAATACCCTCTCAAATATTTCTACAAATCCTCTTCCAGCGAAGGTGCAATGTTGGGTTTAATATAAATAAAAACTATACAATTTTTGGCAAATCATGTTCAATCTATATTTAATTGAATCCATTACAAAGACAAGCCATTTCATGTTCCAACTGATCAACATGAAATAGCTTGTCTTTGTAGTGGGTTTAAATAAATACAATAGATTTGAGTGACAGGGACTAGCGATGTGGCAATATCCCTGCTGTTGGCACCTGTGTGAAAGGCCAAGAATGATCGTCGCGTTTTATGTTCCTGGAGCAATTAGCGGTGGCCCTGCCTGAAAGGGGGCAGCAAGCAAAACGCTGAGCAAAGGGGAGCTCACCAGCAGAGATCTCCTGGCTCATGAGGGTGACGTGCAGGTTGAACATTTGCTCTTGGGCTTTGCTCTGGAGCAGTTTGAGCTTCTCCCGTCGACTCACCATGTAGCACAAGTTCCTCACCTGCACCAACGCACGACACGCCACAAATACAATCAGCACAGAAGTCATTTTAACATGTTCAATATTTTAAATTCATTAAAAAAAAAAAAAAAAATCCTTTGGAATGATACATCACACCTTCAAATTACGGTGGCAGAGAAGGCGGCGAAAATGATTAATTGCACTGACCCTCTCCAGGTCCTGTCGCAGGTGCATGAACATGCGCATGCGCGTGTGGATGCTGTCCTGGTGTGGCTGCAGCACCAGGTTCTCCTCGTCTTCCTTGGGTGCCAGCAGGGCCTTGTTAAAGTTGCTTTTCCTCTTTAGCTTCCAGTACTGGTAGACAAAGTCCACCAGGCACTGTGAGAGCCCCACGGCCCGCGACACCTCCTCCGGCCGCACCAGCGCGTAGAACTCCTCCTCCAGCTCCTGCAGCCGCTGCGCCCGTAGGCCCACCTTGACCGAGTCGGAGGGCGGCGCCGGGGGCTTGGCGCGCGCCGGGCTCAGGCCCGCTTCGCCTGGCACTTTGGGCTTGCTGTGCTTGAGGCAGTACGACTTGAACTTGACCTCGTCGCCCTCGTCCAGGATGGTCTTCATCTCCAGGCTGTGCTCAAAGGCGCATGTCACGTGGAAGGGCGTGGTGCAGTTCTTCACCGAGCACTGTGGGGAAGGGCAGCGCATAGGAAGCGGGTGAGTTAAAGTGGAGCGAAACCATTTCAAGAATTGCAGGTATGTGCTCCCTTCTATGAGCTCCAGTTAGGAGGCGAGCAGCAGCATTTTGGACCAACTGAAGACGCCTGAAGGAGGACTGGCCGACCCCAAAATCAAGTGCGTTACAGTTATGCAGCTGAGCTGTCACGAAGTCATGGATTACTGTTTCTAAGTGCTGCTGTGAAAGGAAAGGCTTTACTTTACCGAGCTGCCGATGAGAACCCACCCCCCCTCGCCAAAATCGTAATCATAATTAAAATGTGATTAGTTGTGCAGGCCGACTTGCTGCCTCACCTGAATGCACGCCCCCGTCTTGATCTTGCACACGCTACAGATGAGCGACCAGCGGCTGGGTGGGATGTGGGACACTTTGGTGATTGGCTCCATCCTTTCAGGGCATGCGATGCTGACCTGTGTGCAGTGAAGCAAACGAGTGGGAGCTGTGAGCTGGTAATCAGCCAAGGATTATTTTTTTGATTTTTATTTTTTTTAACTTTACCTCTGGGATCCACAGGGCGCAACTGACATGCGCCCACTTGGTGCCGGCGCGCGTCGCCTTCATGGCCCCGCCCTTTTTGGGACACAGGAGGCACTGCGGGTCGATGCCCAGCACGCACGTGCGGCACAGCCAATTCCCGACGGGCACTTTGACGATTCCATAACAGGCCTGGTAGGGGGAAACAAAGTACACCCGTCTTGTCACATGGCTCCCTTTGCTACCCGAGCTGTGAATCACTCTCTAGCCTCTATCCTGTGCACTATATGTAGTGAGCTCACCATTTTTTATTTTTTTTGACTACGGTTTGAATGTGAAATGAGTAGGATTGCAAACGAGGTGTAAAATTTAGGTCGATTTCCTGAATGTCTCGGGGAAATATCAGATCTGGACTTTTGGAAATATTCTATGGGTATCAAGATTTTAGTGAACTATATGGTATAGAGAAATCCCTAAACTGTGTACCCGCTAATCTCATTAGCATCAACTACAAAAAAAATCTTCAGTTGTGGAGTACAGAAAGAGTGAATGATTCCTAATGCAGGTAAGGTGAAACAACCTTTTGTGTACCCTACCTGGTGAACGCAGATGTTGCACTTGTCGCAGAAAACCATGTCATTGCCTTCCTCGCTGTCGGGCGAGCGACACACATCGCACACCACGTCCTCGTCGTACTCGATGCCCAGGCCCTCCACCGTCTCGATGGCGTGCTTCATGTTGTCGTGGCACTGGCCCTCCAGCGCCTCCATGGTGCGCTCCATCGTCAGCTCGTCCACTGGGTCCTCACCTGGACACGCGGGCGCAAAGCAGGCTAAGATGACAGGTGGTGCCGTATCGGGCTGGGCAATATGGACAAAATGTCAGATATTTGGGCCAGATATGTAGATAAAAATATAAGTCTGAATTCAATTTCATTTAACCAATCACCATGCCCACACACACAAAAGCACAGACAAAAAAAAAAAAAAGTGCAAATGCCAAATTACAAATATGGCTGGCTTACCCATCCAGAGCAGCTGGCTGTTGAGCGTGTGCAGCCAGTAGAGGTCGACGTCGTCAAGGTCGTAGCGGCACATGGCCTCCGCCAGCTCCTTGATGTTGACGTAGCCCAGCTCAGAGGACTCCTGCGCAGAGCACTGGATGTACTTTTTCTGGTGGCCATACAGAATTTCCTTGGACTTCTCCGCTATGATCCTGCACATAAAAATGACCACAATTGTGATGACAGGAAATGACTTGGTTGATAATGTTGCGGGATGAAATTTGAGTTGCAAGTGGGCTTGAGTTACTGGAGGTTGCTAGTTTCTTGGAAAATAATATATTATCATTATTTATATTATTATAAATAAGGGTCGACCTAGGCACTGGGTACCACAGTACTTTTCTCTCTGCAACGCTGTCATCCGTACCTGACTGACGCCTGTGGGATGGTGTCCGGGCTTGCCAAAACCTGAACCCCTTTCTCCCATTCCTGTTTCCAGCTGTCGGCCAGCAGGTAGTACTCTTCCGGCGGGATGTGGTGCGAGTCAGGCAGTTTCATGGCGCTGATCAGGTCTTTTCGGAACACCTGTGAGACACGCCCAAAATTAAGATATCCCGGGCGACTCCAAGTGAAGGTGCAGGGGGGTAACATTGTGGGGGACTTACTTCAGCCGGTTTCTTAGGGTCGGCGGCGGGGGTGCCCGGTTTGCTGCCATACTTGTTGGAGCAGAAGGAGGTCGAGGGACCTGGATGCAAACATGGCACGTAGCTTCAGCTGTATGCACCTGAATGAAGGCATTTTGTCATCAGGCCGTGTTGTGCGGGGACTCACTCTCATTGTCAGAAGTGTCGCTGCTGCTGGAGGTCCTGAGACGCTTCATCCTGTCACATCCTGCAGACAAGATGGACGCCGCGTGAGGCCTTCGGTATAACACATTGTTCGCACACGAGGAGCATGCTACTGCTAATACCAGAAATGGGAGTACGTTTACGTCAAGCCAGTGGAAAAATTTGCAACTTAAATCACCACGCGTGGCTGCTGCCACTGCTCCTACTCACCATAAATCTCCAGTTGAAAAGCATGCTAGTGGCTTCCTCTGACGGACACTCAAGTGATTAATTTCATCCCTGAGAATAAGAGAAAAGGGCATGTGATGTTAGCACCATTTTCACGCTAGTCATTACCAGTCGTGCATTTTGACAAATTATTTTTGAGTTGGAAATTGACTTTGAATTAATTGTATTGGTGGGTTTTGTTCCTTTCCTGTGAAGCAATACGTTTCATTTCAGGCTCCCTGGCTATCATCACTCTCCCATGAAGAATTAGCGTGTCAGTGGACCAAAAGTGCTGTTTAAACATGCCTGGCATTCCCCATGAGGGGGTGGACGTGGTCATTTAAGTTCATGCTACGCAAACAAACATCCATCCATGTTCTTCAGCACTTATCCTCACTATGGTCGCGGGTGAGCTGGAGCCTTTCACATCTGACCTTCGGTAATAGTTCTCCATCGTCAATCACACTCAAGGCTTCAGTTTTGTATAATCCACAGGTGCACATGAAATTATTAAAAAAAAAAAAGTGTCATTGCAAAACATTACAAATACAGCATATACAATTTATTGGTCAATAATCATTAATACCCTGAAATGTGCTTTTGTTGAAAAACTCGTGATAGGATGTGGCGTTTATGACTGGCCGTTACGTCTGCGACGTTGCAACGCTGTTTGCCAGCCATTCAACAAGATTATATGCTTGTTTCTGGAATGTGGGAGGGAAGCTGAAGTAAGTGGTGATGAGAACATGCAAACTCCACACAACCAGCCTTAATTGTTCCACAAGCTATTTTTAAGGGGAAAAGGACAACGAGCAGCAGAGTCCTTGACAACATCTGCTGTTGACATGAGGTATTTCAAGAACAAAATCGACAATGTTAAGCTGATGACAACGTTTATATGACAATGGAAAGGATGGGTGTCCAAACTGAGGGCAACATACAGAAAAATGGAAGAACACAAGAGCCAATTTGACATTTTTTCCAATCCATCAGCCAGTTCTGTTGTTTTTATTTATACATCTATATATCCATCCATCTTCTGATCCGGTTTATCCTCGCAATACATGTGTCGCGGGGCATGCGGGGCAGCCGTCTTCAGGCAGCAGGCAAGGGACACCCTGAACCGGTTGCCAGCCAATCACAAGGCACACAGAGATGAACAACCATCCGCGCTCACACTCACACCTAGGGACAATTTAGAGTGTTCTATCAAACTGCCATGCATGTTTTTGGAATGTGGGAGGAAACCAGAGTACCCGGAGAAAACCCACACAAGCATGGAGACAACATGCAAACTCCACACAGGACCATTCCAGAGCCAGTATTTTATTTTACTTGATGGAATTTGGTAAACTAACTTGTTATCTCCTTTCTATCCTTTTAAATGTCTTAAATTCTTCTACTTTTCTGCCTTTAAGTGCTCTTTGGTAACTAACTATGTGCAAGTGTGAAATGCACCATGTAAAACATAAAAATACTTAAATCCTTATTTCTACTTTTATCATTTACACAATCAGCTGAGTTTCTCGTTAGGTACAGAGTATGAATATTTTTGACACCTCTGCTTCATATTAGCACGTGAAAGGGGGCACCTAGCTAGCAATCTAGCTAAACAGACGGAGAGGGAGGGGTTAACGGATGTGACAACACAACATGGGAACCCGTTGTTCGAAAGCTTGGAAACGATAAGATAATTGCGCCAAGCGCTTTGTTTATGTCGCTACACTCGTGTGGCGTAAGATTTATTCCCAACCGTAGAATTACTTTCACACCCAGACAAGTTTCTCGGGAAAAAATAAAGCGACAAAAAAGCCTTAGAAAGAGCTTTGGCGCCAAGTCTAGTCGACGCCTTGGAAGAGCGGGAGACGACGAAGGCCAAATCAAACATGGGCGCCACCACCACCAGCGCACCGACATGTCACTTCCTCAGAGTGGAGCCTTTAAAACGAGAGACAAGGTGGGGGGTGGTGAACAACTATACGTCCGTTTAACCGCCCAGTGTGACCAAACGACGAAGCAAGCGTTCGGGGGATGAAATCAAACAAAACGCCTCGTTCACTGTCGGACGGCCGGATTTTAAAAGCAAGCATCCACGGGGGCACGTCCTGCTACTTCGAGCCAGGAAACACACGGGGCATATTGTTCACGCTTCCACCATTTTACCTTCAAATATAAGCACTGGGAGGTCCGCTTTATCACACCCGTACGACGTCCAGAGTCCAGCACACTGCGTGTAGCCACAAAATGAGAAGTATTTGAGCGTGGTAATGGGTTAAATTGAGTGTTTTTTGAGGAGGTTCTCCTCCGGGGCTTGCAGTCAGTCGGCCCACTAACACGGCACAACAGCGCTATTGTACCGAATAGCCCGCCGGGTCCTAAACCCGGCCGATTTCTCCTCAATCCCTGGTGAGTGCGTTCGATTTGGACACTGGCGTTCGGCGATGGGACGGGTGGACAGATTGAGAAGGAGCAATGTTTTTAATACTGTATACAGTAGCACGCTAATGTTAGTCAAAATTAATGTTTTAAAAGTACATGATCAAACTGAAACCTATAATGTAAAACTTGCATTTCAACACGACAGTAAAATTAAAACAATTTAGGTGTCAGCAATCTTTTTTTGAAGCCGAGGTCTACTTTTTGGGTACCGACTAATGTCAGAAAAAAATTGACTTTACTTGTCCTTCCAATAACTTTTGTTTTCAAACATTAATTTAGGTCAACTTTTTATTTACTGACTGAATATTTTGTCATAAGACAAACATTTTGGGCTTTTCCGCCCATCTGGAAGATTGTCCGACTAATTAATGGCATATGAAATGATTTTAGATGGAAGTGAAAGCTGCCAAGAGTGATTCATGGCTGAGTTGTGCTCGACAGGAAATCAGCATTGTAACTACCAACTCTTACAGTGCTACACTAAAGACAACAAAAAATAAGAACAGTGTCACAAATGTAAAAACCTTTACTAAAAAAACGTACAGCGTCGAACATCAGTTGGTTTCTATACAAAAACATTCAAAGCATATAAAACACACTGTGCAAAAAAAAAGACTGATCACATGATGGCCTACATAAAAAAAAGCATACATGTCCATTTCTTTTTTGAGTAAACAAAAGGTGCGTTCCATCGTACATTAAAGTATAGTACACACACGTGACGATCTTTACAAGGATTTATACATAAAATATGAGGCATTCTTGTGCTCCTGATGTTTCAGACAGTGAAGCGAACCAACACTAGAGCTACACGTTCACATTTTGACAGAGGCGAGCATCAAAAAATAAATACAAACTACATACAAGTACATGTTGACCAGTGGTGCCAAGTACCTACGTACAAATGGTTACGATACTTAAGTAGATCTTTTAGGACTCACTCATCCAATTACTAATCAGAGGCACCTTCACAGTCTCAGAGTCGTATCTGAAAAAACTCTCGCAACAATCCACGTAACAAAACTGCAGGTTTGCTACACCATTACAAAGCATTCTCTCCTGGAACACATCATCGTGTTTCGGCACCTACATGCTGTTTTTTTTTTTTTTTGAGGGGGGGGGGGTTTAACCCTCGTGTTTTTGTGGACATTTTTTTTCCCCTATGAATTTGGGATTTAAGAAAAAATTCCCAATGCATTCATACTGGGCGTCACTTGTACATGGATTGTCGTTATTCACGGACTGTCAAATAGCAAACCCAGCAGTTGTCTTACATGAAATGGTGTTACGCTTTTACAAGTTCCGACCGTCAACAAGGCCATGAAAGTGACTGGATTGGATGACCGGGTCAGGAAGGTGAGGCCAATGTAACCGAGAGAAAGTAAGTGTGGTCTAAGTGATTGGATTTGTTCCAATAAAAGAGTCTGAAACGGGTCGGACCAGCAATCTTAGGTAATAAAAAAACCTGCATGTGTGTGTGGGAAAGCTGTCAAGGAAGCGGCGGTATGAATTCATTTTGACTTTAGTAATTAATTACATTTCAGCGCAGGTGGTACAGTATAGTGATGCAGTTTAATTCCCAGCCAGCGCGTCGAGACCCAGCCATGGCTGGTGCTATGCCCGAATACAAAAATCACAATCCCCCACCCCCCGAAAAAAAACAAACAAACATTTATTCAACTGATTCACTGTGGTGACCTGATGCCACAAGCCAAAAGGTCGCAACAAACTTATGTGCATGTCACAGTGTGTGCTATTTATAATTTTTTTTAACGGAAGGAGTTGAATCATTTCCTCTACTTTTACAACTCTCTCTTCTTTTTTTAACATAAGTATGTGCATTTCTACATAAGTACAGGATGCGAGTACTTCTCTCGGCTCTAACGCCAACAGCAAACAAACAGCAAGTGGTAAAAATGTGGACAGCAGGAGCGCGAATCTCAATTTGCATTGGCTGCATAAATAACACGATAGGGCGGCCGCGCTGTACATTCAAAGCTACTCTGGTCATAAACACTACGTCTTGGGGTTAACCCTTCTTATGTGTTTACAGCCGTGGATTATTTATCAAAGCAGCAGCAGCAGGTCCGGATGGTGTGTGGCCCACACTGATTGTAGCAGTGCAAAAAAAAAAAAAACAAAGCAGCGTCCAAATGTGTATGGACCTGACTCCTCACAAGCCCATTTGCATGTCGGCGAAGTTGAAGAAGTTGTCCACATCATGAGAAGATGTGTTCTTGTTGTCTGAGACGAAAACCTGCGGGCAGGGGATCAATGAAAATTCAATGAAGTCTCACAAAAACAAAAACAAAAAAAAAAAAGTTTGTGTTTTTCTTAAATAGAAAAATAGCAGTCTATAATATTGCACTTCATAAAAACATATACAAAGGGCGTAATTAAAAAGAATGTCATGAAGTCGTTTTTGCTTCAGTTCAAGTCATGAGGACATTGTTCTAGTCATGAGTAAAGGGAGACAAAAGCAACGCTGACCTTAGTGCCGCCAAACACCTCGCCGGCTATGTTCTTGCAGGCTTCCACGACACCGTCACCGTTAAGCTCCAGGGCAATGACAGGACCTTTACAATAAAGACAAAAAAAAATGTCACAAAGTCGATCAGGTGAGGCGATAGAAAAAGTATGGTGTACATTATTTTAAATAAACATTTGAACTCTCGACCTCGCCCAGGTATCTGGTTTAAAAATTAAATGAGACCCTTTCTCATAAATGTTTGGCCACCCATTAATGAAATGTACTCGATTGGTATTTGTGGGCCAAATAGAACGATGCAACAATCAAGACGTTGAGAAAGCAGTTAAGTGACCTTTGCTGATCCAGTCCACGAGATCCTCAGCATTGTTCTGGAACACACGCTTGACGTCTTCGGGTCGCATCGACACCTCCTTTGTCTGGATCAGCACGAAGCCTTTGGCGGTCGCCTGAGTGGAAGGGAAAAAGTCACGACGAGAAACATTTGTTGCGGAAGGAAGTATGGAAGGAAGACAGGAAGGAATGAACAAACTAACATGCACACAAATGACGTTTTTGAGCTCGCTGATGATCCAGCATTCGAGATGAGTGACGCATAGTTTGGCAGCAGCGCAGTCATGAGCGGAATGTTTGAGTAAAAACATATGTGCAGTAAAATTATGCAATTGACAACTGAAAACCAGCGCCAAAATCGATACTTTTTATATTCTCTCAAATTCCTAGAATTTAATCATTTTTGCATTGTAACACAATTTATTAACTTACTATTAATATTATAATTGTTATTTTGTTTATTGACATTTTTTTTATTTATAAATGCATCACTGCCCTCTATTGATTAACGAAACCATTTCCTCACCTCGTCAATCATTTTGCGCGCATTGGCGGTGGTGTACTCCCCGGCGAAGAACACAAACAGGCAGGACTCGTCGCTATCCTTGCGCCGGCCTCCTTTGGTCAGAGGCACGATGCTGCGCGCCGCGTCCGCCGAGATGCGGACCGCCTTGAAGTCCGAGTCGGCACCGGGGGCCGGCACGGACTCTAGCACGGCGGCGCTTTCGGGTAGCAGGCTCCAGTTGGTCTCGCCGGCCACGGGCGTGAAGTCGTGGACGTTGCTCCAGTTGTTGTTGAAGATGCTCAGGCCGGCATCCTTGAAGTGGAAGGCCAGCTCGGGGTAGTAGTATTGAAAGCAGCCCATCTTCACGCCGGTGGACGACTCGATGATGGGTTGCGTGGCGCAGCACAGGAACACCTGTGATGACGAGTTGTTAGTTTCTAGGAAAAAAACAATATAAATAGACGATCCAACAGCACCTCCATCTTTTTACAGTCCCGCGTGCGGAACTGCTGGCATGCCACCACGCAGCGGATGTCCTTGCATGCACACAAACGACGTTTTTGAGCTCGCTGATGATCCAGCATTCGAGATGAGTGACGCATAGTTTGGCAGCAGCGCAGTCATGAGCGGAATGTTTGAGTAAAAACATATGTGCAATAAAATTATGCAATTTACGACTGAAAACCAGAGCCAAAATCTATATTTTGTATATTCTCTCAAATTCCTAGAATTGAATCATTTTTGCATTTTAACACAATTTATTAACTTTATTACTATTTATATTATAATTGTCATTTTGTTTATTGACATATTTTTTTATTTATAAATGCATCATTGCCCTCTATTGATTAACGAAACAATTTCCTCACCTCATCGATCATTTTGCGCGCATTGGCGGTGGTGTACTCCCCGGCGAAGAACACAAACAGGCAGGACTCGTCGCTATCCTTGCGCCGGCCTCCTTTGGTCAGAGGCACGATGCTGCGCGCCGCGTCCGCCGAGATGCGGACCGCCTTGAAGTCCGAGTCGGCAGCGGGGGGCGGTATTGCGATGGTGATTTAGTATGAATTTTTTCTTTTTCAAGGTCATCTTCCCATGTATTTATTTTGAGAGGGGAAAAAAAAACAATCTCACAAGTAAAAGGTCATACAGCTTCAAGAAAGGAATATTTCTTAAGTCATTCTTACAAGAAATGAGTATGTTTTGGCGAACCCCCCCATGTAATAAAGCTCTATTTCAAGAAAAGTGTCCTAATTTAGTTAATATTCTGCAAATTCAATGTAATCATCAGATAGCATCAATTAATAGAGTTCAAAGCAAACATGGTGAAACTGCATTTAGCTGTTATGCTACACAAATGAAATAAACTGCTTACAGCACGTATCAAACTCAAGGCCCGGGGGCCAGATCCGCCCCACCAGGTCATTTTATGTGGCCCACGAAAGCAAATCATGTGCATCAACTTGTTAAAGTCTGTACCAAAATGTCAAAATGTCATGTGTACTATATAACGTTGAGATTTTGCAATAATTTCGTTACCCTGTTTGCACTCACTTGAACAATATTTGAACAAATTATAATTGACTTGAATGATTTCAAAACTAGTAATCTATTAATTTGTTGTGTACAAGTAATAATTTTGAGGTTTCACGGTCATAACGGCCCTCCAAGGGAAGACGTAACTCCAAATTGGCCCGCGACTAAAAATGAGTTTGACACCCCTGGCTGACAGGATTCTCCCTCATACATTTGATAAACGGCTTGTAAACTTTTTTATACCGATTTCACAGTACAAACAGTATAGAAACTGGAAATAAATCACCAGCTTGGCTAAGCAAACAGAAAACAGTCTTCCTTTGGATAACATATAATAACATTATTATGCAGTAGCACAGCATAAGCATACCATTTAAGGGCGGTCATCAGCCCGGAAGTTGAGCTGTGGGTCAGGTTAAATGCGGTTAAAAGAGGTGCGTTTTGCAATCCCATAATTGGCTTAAAACAAGTTACACGGAGTGAGCGAGAGACTGAGGGAGGCCAATGGCTCGAGTGGAAAAGTCAAAGCCTGTTGGCCAAGAATAGCGATCACTCAAATGCACCTGCAGCCTACTGCAGAAGGGAGAAAGTAACGTGAGTCAACTTTTTAAAAGTCGGTTTAATGGTGGGTATTGCAAAAGAGGGAAATGAGAAGACGTGGCGAACCTTTTCTCGCTTGTCCCAGCTGTACTGTTTCGGTGCCGCCTCGTCCGTGTTGTTGCCAAGGGGAACCGCGTTGGTGGTCGTCGTAGTTTCTACCGTCGTCGTCGTCGGTGTCCTCTCTTCCTTTTCCAACGACTTTCGTTTGGATTTTTTCGAGTAAAAGCATCCCATTTTGTTCAACTTTTGTTTTGTATTTGACGAGGTTGACGGGTAAGTTACGTGTGGCGCAAGAATGCGTGAGGTTTAGTTGACACGATTTTTTTCCCCCTTCCCGTTTCCCTTTCTGGATTCGAAACCAATCAGCGCAGAGGAGGGTGATTCAGCAGCCAATCACATCTCTCAATTTAATGACAGGTGGGTATGTCGCTTATGGTGCATTCCATGTCAACTGAAAAAGTAAGTTAAAAATGTTTTTTTTTAATGTCAATTTTCTAAGTTTAAAATGCAACTAAAGTTCCTTTACAAATAAAGAAAAAATGTAAATATTGTATTGTATTCTTACATAGGAATTTAATTGGTAATCTAAAGATTCATAGTCCTCAACATTTTAATATTTCTACTATCTTAGAAAGCTTTATTTTTCCATGTGATAACCTAATCACGCATTGTACGCCATGTATTATCATCATATTAATTTAAACGGTTATTATATTATCAGAAGTCGAATATATTATCCTGGGGTGGAAATACAAAAATGCACTTGTACCACTGACGACGAATGCACCGTAATGAACACGTTGGTCACGCCTCCCTGGGTGTTTCCGTCACAATGAGAAGCAGCTGTTAGACAAAAAAAAAAAAAAAAAAGATACAACGTGTAAATATACTGAATTTGTATTATCAAATGATGAATGATGTACAGTCAAACATTGCCAAAATCCTGTAAAAATGCAAAATCATCACAACCAACAACACCTCAAGCAGATTACTTTGCAATTTAAGCTACTTGTTCACGCTAATAATAGTTAATCCATGCTTGAGTAAGAAGGATGTTTCTGAAAACAGGCTCTCTTTTCTGTGTAACCTCTTTTTCATCATGGTGAAACCAAACAACCAACCTTCCCAAGTGCTATTTAACTTTCACACCTGGCAATTAAAAGTGAAAAGAATTCAACCACTGGACGAGCCATTTCTCCTTTGTATTTAATTACCATTTTCTTAAATCAAGGTCAAACAAGCTTCTGTGATTGGTGAACATCAGTGAAAGTTAGTCAAAATAGAAGCCAGATGAAGCTACTGTGGGTTGATCTTGTTTTTTTCCTGCACTGTGGTTGGATAGGATTGTAGTGAGGTATGTAAGCCTGCATGGCTTCCTGTAAATGGAGCATTGGCGGTGTTGCAAGCTCCATAAAACCAAATAGTCACGATTACACCTTCGGCCTTGCATTCCATCTTAATTATATAAGTTTACCCTAATAGTGTTAAGATGTGAGTGCATCTTTCTCACTCATGTTGACTCACCTTTACCACAATGGTCGAATGTATCAAAACATATGCCTTGATGAAGATGAGAATATGATTTATTAATAATAAAAAAATCTATTCTTGTAGCATAGTTTAAAAACAATGTGTAAATTCATGAGTAGCCTTAATACATAGCGTTCTGTTATTCGACCATCTCATAATCCACATCATACTGCATTTTATGTCAAAACATCTATCAATGGGTAGAAACACTGTTTATCCAAGGCATACCACATCACGTCTATGTATCTTTGGTAAATGGGTTTTCATACATATTCACATAGAATTCTCGTCCACCCACTCATGACGCAGCATTAGAAGCCACGCGGGGGGTGGGGGGGGGGGTTAGTCATCTATCTATCTAGCTAGCTATCTGGCTAGCATATCTAGCTCTCTAGCTAGCTAGCTAGCTGGTCTGTCTCTATAGCTGCGACATTTCACTAACAAGGTAATTCTCCACTCTTTCAGGAGGCAAAGTCCATTATGGTGAGTTTCCTGCTTTTAATAGGACTGGATTGCAAAATTACCCCCCCCCCTCAAAAAAAGTCATGACTCAGTCGCCTGGGGGTGATGCTGGGGGGCGGGGGGCGTCTCCTACAGGACTGGTAAGCGTGGCACCGCCTCTCCACGCACGCAAACAGGCACGCACGCGCGCACACGGAAGCCGCGCGTCAACTGTGCCTTTAACGGCGGAACTGACTGGCGTGTGACTGCGAGTCAAGCGGACCCTGGGTGCGCGTTCACCCGCATTGACATGGCGTAGAGGGCGGCGTGAGTGTGCAACATCCTCCCAGCGCCACGGTCGCAATCCACGCGAATACGACGACGACGACGACAATGATACCGATGCTCATGATGATGATGAAGGTGATGGCGGCATCCGGGCAGGAGGACGCCGCCGCCGCCGGGCTGGAGGATCTCGCAACGGAGAAGGAAGCCGAGGAGAGCCACCGGCAGGACAGCGTCAATCTGCTGACCTTCATCCTGCTGCTCACCCTCACCATCCTCACCATATGGCTCTTCAAGCACCGGCGCGTACGCTTCCTGCACGAAACCGGCCTGGCGATGATTTATGGTAAGGCGTGCATGCGTTCCCATGTGGCAAAATGTCCAGAAGACCGTTACTACCCTAGTAGTAGGGATTCTCGAAGGGCAAATATTTACGTAGATTTCCATTAGCCGACTCTACAATCTGTTTTTATAAGGACTTTTTACTTTTACTACCTACATTGGTAAAAAAAAAGCTTTGAACTTTCTACTCGTTTCACTGAATAGTCAAATTTTCTATTGCTCTTGAGATTTTCCTTTCTATAGATGTTGGACTTATGATGTGTTATGCATTGGATCATAAGGTGTTCCTTTCCTTAGATGTTGGCCTTATGATGTGGTATGCAGTGGATTATGAGGTGTTCTTTTGTATACTGTTGGGCATATGATGTGGTATGCATTGGACAATAATATGTTACTTTCCATAAATAGACGGATTTTTTCGGGTCATGGTGGTCTGTTTTATGCTAACTTTTGACTCCTTCACATAGTCCATAACACTTACATTTGTTGAAGATTCTTAAACGTTCAGTAAGCGTGAATGGTCGTATGTCGATCATGTGATTGATAGGTGATTGGTCCAGGATGTTCCTCTCATCCGCCACTCTTGCCCTCAAGTAAGCTGGCTAACTCCATAAAATGAACAGATGAAAAGCAATTGTTTGGTTGAGTGAGTCTAGACACTAGATGGACAAGGATATTGGGACACACATCTTAATCAATTCATTTATCAATTGATAAGAGCCCTTTGTTCTCCCTGACCCTTATTATTGAAAGATCTTTATGACAAGGGGGGCGGGGGAATTTGAGTGTTGCTTCTCTGGTCCTGGTGGACAAAGCCAACGCTCACTAACTGGATGAAAAACAGATTCGTTGGCCGCTCTGGGTGCTTTTGGGAAACACAAGAGACTTTTATTTTCCCGTAGTTCTAAACAGAAACTTTGTGTGTGTGTGTGTGCTGTGTTTATACAATGAGCTGTGACTTTCATTTTCTATATTACTGCATAGCGAGATGTTGGACACGCTGTATAATGCCGTATGACTTGGCTCATAATATTGTCCTTTCCCTATTTTGTTAAATGTTGGATATTGAACACATGATGTGGTATACTTTGGATCATGAGATGTTCCCATTGAGAGGTAGTTTTGGGCACATCAGGCGGTTTCACTATCTCGCATGAGATTCTCCCTTAAATATTGGACATATGATGTGGTATGCGTTGGATGCTGAGATGTTTCTTTCCATAGAAGGATAGATGTTGTGCCTTGGATTGCGAGCTATTTATTTTAATAGATGGCTAGATATTGAACATATGATACTATATGCCTTGGATCATGAGATTGATTTCTGTAAATGGATCCCCCCCCTCCCCATCACTTGGTGGTCTTAACTGTTGACCCATAGGCCTGCTGGTGGGGGTCATCCTGCGTTACGGCAACCCCGCCACCAGCTACCACAACAGGAGCCCACCCAGCTGCTCGCTGGCCAAGGGGCCGGCAAGAAGCAGCCTACTGCTCAACATCAGCGGCAAGTTCTTCGAGTACACGCTCAAAGGGGAGATCGACTCCCGCGACATTCACAATGTGGAGCAGAACGACATGCTGCGCAAGGTGACGTCGCAACAACAACAAAAACCCAAACAAAACGTCCTGCTCCTCCTCCACTGATGCCTGGTTCGCTGTTTTTCCCGTAGGTTACTTTCGACCCGGAAGTCTTCTTCAACATCTTGCTGCCTCCCATCATTTTCCACGCTGGCTACAGCCTGAAGAAGGTAAGACGGAACACATAACCACCAAGGGGGATCATTAAGCTCTCTGTCGAATTTTAAAATGGTCATGTGAGGCTCCAGGTGGTTCCACGAGACAGAATATTAGCCAAGTGAAGCCTTCACTGGCTGTATAAACCTTCAAGTGTTAGTCAAGTGTTCCTTTTCTGGAGCAAATGTCTTTGTTATTTTCACTCTTGTGCGCACAGACACACACACACACACTCTTATCTGCCTTGGACCTTTGCCCGTCTTTTGGGGCAGCGTGTCCTTACAAGAGATTTGTTGTAAGGCTACATTTTTAGGCACTGAACTATGCGGTCGTATTAGATAATGGATGGATAAATACATGCATTAAAAACATAAATAGAATGTAAAGATTTGTGTTTTTTTTTTTTTTTTTTTTTTTGCTTTAATTCAATGAACATTGTGCTGCTCCTTCCGGTGGTCCAAATTCCCCTTCATTAAACTGCGTCTCCACATGTGAGGCCATTACAGTATCTTATTTGCCCCCCCCCCCCCCCCCCCCCCCCCACACACACACACACACACACACCATTTCACTCGAGCGTCATTGAAAGTCCACTATGTCAAATTTTGGTTTGCAACACAAAGCAACACCCCCTCCAAAAAAAAAAAAAAAAAAAAAAAATCCCAGACTATGCTACTGGTCATGACTGTAAAAACTCACTTGTAAATTAAGGGAGCGATGCAATCACTTTCCCTTTAAAACCGTTACGTAAGTAGTGAACAGGGGTAAAGATCACAAAAAGACAGGCTGGTGTTTGATTTAAAACTCGTCAGTTTGGTCCATTGTGTGTGCATAACCCACCACACACACACAAACACACACACACAAAAACAGACAAGTTTTTGCTGACATTCTGGTCACACATCCGGCACACATATCCTGCACATAAATAGCAGAATATTTTCCCTGACTAATCACTTTTCTAATTCTCCTTTTCAACCCCCTTCTGCTCAGAAACACTTCTTCCGGAATCTGGGCTCCATTCTCACCTACGCATTCCTGGGCACGGCTGTGTCGTGTTTCGTGATCGGGTGAGAGTCCACTCGGGGATTAAAAAACATTTTTTTTAAGAACAGCATATGAGTAAGAGAGTTGGGAAACCTGCATGAAGTGAACTGTGAAAGAAACAAGAGTTTTTACTCCTCCCATTCAATTTATTTTCATTTTAGTACATCCCACAGATATGCGACGGGCTTTTTTTATTCGCACCAAATGAATCCATAAAATCGTGCGTATTCTCATTGCAGGAATCTAATGTACGGCGTGGTCAAACTGATGCAAGTGGTCGGTCAGCTGAGCGACAAATTCTACTACACCGACTGTCTTTTCTTTGGTGCCATCATCTCCGCTACCGACCCAGGCATGTGACCACGCCCCAACTCAGTTTGAGTTCATCTAGAATAACACAACAGTAGAATAAAACACATGTTGATTGTACTGTATTTAGTGACGGTGTTGGCCATTTTCAACGAGCTGCACGCGGACGGCGACCTGTATGCGCTGCTGTTTGGCGAGAGTGTCATGAACGACGCCGTGGCCATCGTGCTGTCGTCGTGAGTTGCTTCTTTGAACCTTAAAACTGAAACAAAATTATGCTATTTAATTCAAAGAAAATAAAAAATGTTTAAAAAAATGTAGTTTTAAAAACCATAAGTACCTAAAGGAGTCCCAAACAATTCTAAAACAATACTAATAAATATACAGAAAAGAATTGACAGAATGTGAAAGCTTGAAAAAACACAACCTTATTAAAAATCCCTCTTCATCCCCTAGAGCTACAATAAATTAATTGTAATTGAAAATAAATTTTAAAAAAAAGCACTACAAAACATTTTAAAACCAATAAAATAAATCCAAGAAATAAACATGATGTAGTTAAAAAAAGCTCAATAATCCAAATGAAATACACACTAAAACAATAGAAGTAAAACCAGAAATTGAATTAATAAGATAAACCTCGGAGAGTAATTATAAAAAAAGTTGAAAAGGATGAAAAAATTCAGTCATTGGATGAATTAATATCTATGGTACCTCTGTATCTAATGTGATAAAAGCTAAAACGACGTCAACAACAATTTAAAGAGTATAAAACATATCCAGGGAATAACCCTGAAAAAAAATCGTAAAAAAAAAAAAAGAT